TATAGAAATGGCGTTTTTTGTTGTCATACTTGGACACTTTGTTTTAAGTCATTTGGTATTGAGGATAGGTGGTCAAAGTGTACCACGCTCTCCAACCGCTTGGGTTGCGGCTAAGATAGTGTATACGTGCAAAAGCCTCCCAGTTGGGGTTCAGATTCTGCATCTCGCAGGCGGCAACGTATCGAAGGATGTTAGCACATGAGTTTAGGGTCAATTTCCAGATACCTAGACCATAACCTCTAAGGATGGCCTTCACAACGTCATGAAGGGGGGAACCGGAGGCCAGAAAGAAACCCCGCCTCATAACAGCCAAAGTAAAACTTGGCGTTCTCCTTATAATCCTCAGGCGGCACCCGGATCGTATATCCTTCCCCCAAGGGCCATTTGAGTACAAAGTTTTCAATCCCCTTCACCATGATCGCTCTATCTTTAGTAGAGACATGGATTTTAAAGGGGTCGTCCTTATCATCCCATTTCTTCCTTTCCTCAACCTCGCTATCCTCAAGCGGGGAAAGAGGAGCATCACTGTCATCCTCAGGGCTAGTGACGAGGGTTAAATCGGTCGCTACAATCTAACTCTCAATCAAACAATACTTATACGAACACCCTATAACCAAGTACAATGGCAAATAAAGGTTCGGTCCACGAGGAACGAGAGTAATTGCAAATCAATCTTAAACCTAAGCTAGTTCGAAATCAATGGAAAATGGTGTTCTAAAATACTACTAATAAGATGGAATAAATCAATAAACTAAGACACTAGGGAGAACGGGAATCCGCCTAACCATTGGTAACTAAGCAACAAGGAATCACAGAGACAAACGGGATATGCAAAGACTATAAGTCTGATCAATATCATGTGATAGGAAGACAACGGGCAATACTAAGCTTGGATTTCTCATGCACTTAACATTACTCGATACATAATCAAACCACATTCAATAATGAAATACTCAATTCACAATCTCTTGTTCAAATCAAGAATATCATGCAATCAAATTCAAGATTCTAGGTTAGCTACTCCTATTATAATGAATTAACATGCAATCGCATATAATCAATTTAATCACAATCCGTTTATCAAAATCAATCCTCAATTACATAGATTACCTAGGCCGAGTTTCATCCCGAAACCCTAGCTAGGAGACTACTCACACATATTCATAATCAAAGCAAAAATGAATTCCAAAAGCATAATAGATATAAACATGAATTCTGATTAAGGAATAATAAAGCTTGATTAATAAACAAGAATGAATAATACCAATTGTATTGATGCGAATCAATGGAAAAGTTCATAACTTTGATATCCGTCGTCAATGAATAATACAAAGAATCTTCGCAAATCTTGCTTCAAATCAATCCAAGAAAACTAAAATCTCTAGAAATATCTCTAAGAAAACTAATGACTCTCTAATACTAAGAACGTTCTCCAATAACTCTCTACAAAGGCTCTCAAAACTATCTCTAAAACTCTCTCTGGAATCCTCTTAAAGTCGGGCCTTATATACGTCTTCTAATTCGGAGAAGTCAAGCGCGCAGTTAACCCTGGATCAGCACGGCCGTGCTGAATTTGGCACGGCCGTGCTAGCTTGTCAGTAAGTAAACCGGATTTCTTCTTCAAATTGGCACGGCCGTGCTATATATGGCACGGATTTCTTCTTCAATATGCTCTAGCACGGGGCTCATACTGAAGCTGACACGGGCACGGGCAACATCTGGCACGGCCGTGCGGGTGCGTGGATACTGACACGGCCGTGCTATTGGCTTGCACGGCCGTGCTGCCTTGCCTGGGGTTGCTTGCTTATAGGCCAGCACGGGTGTGCCTATGGTAACACGGTCGTGCTGCCTGTGCTATGTAATCAATGCACGGCACTTGAACTTCCTTAACTCCTCGGACTCCGGTCAAGGCTAGCTCGGTTACGCATCAAGGGCTCGGGATCCGATTAAACTCGGTTGATATTACCTGAAAACACATCAAAAACAAACCGAAAACCCGTGAAGCACGTAATATGGGGAACGTAAGCATAACAAGGTAATAATCGGCCAAAGCGGCCCCAAATACATCCAAAATCATCCTAAAATATGCTCTAAAGCGCGCCCTAAAGTACGCTTGTCAGCTAGACCCAGAGGCGGAGTTCCCCCCCCCCCCCGTCTCTCTCTTGAGAGACCTCTTCATCGGCTGACCCCAAGCCAGACGAAGACTCTTCCCCGTCTCTGTCTTAGGGGCCAACCTCATCAAGTTCCATTTGGGAGACGGCTTCCTCGTCGTCTCTATCCTCAGCATCATCCAAAATGGTATCACTAGGGGTCTTAGGGATCCCAGACGGGGAATATTCTCCCGAATCCTCATGCATCTCCTCCCCCTCAACCGGGGTCACTTCATCGGACGGCACTTCCAATGTATTGTCTCTTCTACGTCGTGTGGTGGATGTTTGTTTAGTTTCAGCCATACATAGACGGTCGGTTGGGGGGATATACAAAATTGCTCCATGCACCCAAAGCCGACACTCCTAGTCCTAGACTCAGCCGTACTAGGAGACCGACTAACTACCGACCTAGGTTGTGCCGTGTGTGTTGGTGATGAGTCCATGTATTGAATGAAAGTACAAAAATGAAAAAGAAGAGCTGAAGGGGGTAGAGACGGTACCTTAGAATCTGACTCTGGAGGGAGACAAGCGACGTTGACTGGCTGTTGTATGCTGATTGAATGTGACCTTGCTTGTGTATGGCACAAATGGTTACTAGACCGACTGGGGCAAGCGGAAAAGAAGAGAAGTTTGTGTTTACACATACGGGAGTCAGAGTCTCTCTCTAGATTTCTTTTTACTTTCTCTCTCTAAAAAGTTTTGGAAACGTCCAAAATAAGGAGGGTAAAACTTGTATTTATAGAGGGGTAAATACAGGAGCATTCTTGTAATTTCCCCGGAATGTGAAAGGTTAAACTTTCGCAGTAAGAAAATAAATAAAATAAAAAATTAACTGAGTGACGTGTCACAGATGCCATGTGGCGAGCCACGTCACATCTGTGAAGGGCAAATGTTTTGGGTAATTTTACCCATGCCACGTTGGCCAACCAGGTTGTGACACGTGTCAGATTAGTCCAAATTGGACCAATCTCCATTTAACACGTGACATTCCCAGAATATGGGAGAAAAGACTACCTTCAAGGGCCCAAATCCCAAGAAAGTCGTAATTCGGCGCAGCCCAACAGAATTAGGTCAGAGTGACCTAATCAGGGGCACATTTCCCGATGACCCTATAAATAGGGAAATTCACCCCATTTTGGGGACATCTACAATTTATTACATGATACCCTACATTCTCTTCCATTAGAGAAAACACTTGATCTCAGATTCCGAGAAGAACTCCTTTACTTTCCGCACCTTTTTACATTCTTCGGACATGTTCTAAAACTTGATCATTGGAGACGAAACTCCAACCACTTGGAGTCTTCGTTATTTTGCAGGTACAAGCGTAGTCAGACCAGTCTTCGAGCTGTAACTCTCCCGAGGGACAAAAATACCCAAAACATAATACTTATTAATCTACTATATTAGGTCTAGATTTATCAATACACTATATGTTTTTACTACTAATATTATTGCTTCCTTATTGACACTTTTTTTTTTTGTTTTTTTGTGTTTAGAGAGCCACAAGGGCGGATGATGAGAATCGATCCCAATATCTATTAGAACCAGGAGGGGACCTCTAACCACTTAAGCTATCCCTCACTCTCACTAACATGCAATCATATAAAAACATATTGTTTCGCTTCATCTGTCCTGAATTATTGGTACAAAAGTTATGAATCCTTGATGATTGACTTTGAAAATCAACTAAACGTGGTTAATCAGATACATATTATCACTGAATTACCTTAGTCAAAAGACATTATTGAGTTTATAAAATGGGGTTTTTTTTTAATTGAATTAATGGGATGATTTCTTCTTTGCTATATGAATTTATTGAGCCAATTAGAGGTGAACCTAGGGATGGCAATGGATCCGTATCCGACCCAGAACCGTAGATCCATATCCGTTTTCACGGATATGGATCCTTAAAATTTGGACCCAACGGATCAGGGTCAGATATGGATCCTATCCTGAAAAATGGATCTGGATACGGGTCCAACCAATATATCCGTATCCAGATCCGTTGACCCATTTTTTTTTTACTTTTATGTAGCAGGCCTAAAAACCAAGCCCACAAGAAGTTACTGATTCTAAGTTTCTAACATTCGAAGTTTCCTAATTCCCAAACGGCAAACCCTAATAGGCTAACACTCTTCTCTCTCCCCCTTATTCCCCAAATTCAAACCAGCAAGTCGACGACTGGGAGTCAAGCCTACTCTGCGGTGACTGCGAGTTCGACATCAGTCCACTTTCTCTCCAATGACCGCCGCAACAATCGGAGCCCGTCCTTCTTTTCTCTATTTTTCGATCTCTGTATTACTTTAGCAGTCCTTTTTCATTTACAATTTCTTTTTTTAAAAAAAAAATAAATTAGTACATGTCCATCTGGTTTAATGAATTTGTCTTGTGTTTTGGTAAATTTATTTATGGTTGAAATGAAATGCTCATGTTTCGGATGTTATTTCTGTATACATTAGAAATGTGGCTAGTTGGTTTGCTTGTGATGGTGGTAGTTGGTTCTAAATATCTGTGCATGTGATTGTTGGACATGGGGTTATTTGCTTTGCTGAAGATTTGGATGAAATTCGTGCTTGGTTTAGAACTTGAGATTTTCTACAGAAAATTGTAAATTGATGTGTAAAATAAGTAAAATGTGCTAGATCCGTTTTGAACCCGTTTTGGACCCGGATCTGTAAGATCCAACTGATATGGATATGGATCCTTCTTTTTCATACCCGACGGATCCGGATCGGATCTGGATCCCATTTATAAAAACGGATCTGAATCTGGATCCTGTTGGATCCGGTCCAGATCCGACCCGTTACCATCCCTAGGTGAACCATTTAAAGATTGCTCATATATTACTTTGGCGAGATGGTGCTCATTTCCATTGTCAAGACAAAGTCCATTTAAGTGGCATCAAGATTATGATAGTATAAAAGAAATAGAGCACTGCCTGTATAGTTCAGGGCACAAGAGGGAAAAGCAGGGAGAATCATAGCATTTCATCATGTCTAGCAGAAATTGACGCTGATAAATCAATAGACGAATCTAGAAGCATTGTCGGAACTACATACATCACATGTTTCCAGATTATTCACTATGCAATTGTAAGATGTTGCCTTGGCATTAAAGGTTGGTTGTTCAATTAACAGCAAAGACAGTCTGCAGGCTCTTCTGCATTAAAATTTAGGACAAATGTCAATTTTACAGGAATATATCACAAATCACAATTTTAGGCAATGAGATCTGAGATAAACTGAAAAATCCCACATTCATTTCCCTGATCCTTTCATAAGAAATAAGAAAATCAAAAGGAAGCTTAAGGGAGTAAAGGAAACACCTATGCCTCAGAAGCCCCGGAAGCCTCACATGTCTCTGATTTGTCCAGTTCTGAACTCAGAATACGGTGGAGTAGTATATCAACTCTTTGGCTTCGTGATTTATGACTGTACCAAATCAAACAAATAAAATTATTTTATAATTATGCACTCTGTCTGCTTCTGAAGTAGAAGAGTTTTCAATAGGCTATTCCTAGATACATACCCAGTATATCGACGATGATATTTTTTTCTATTGTCCTGAAACAATAATAAAACAATGATAGTTAGCGTCAACTAATAAATACCATTCTAGAGCAAGGTGCAAACTCAAGGTTAAATCAAGCAGCAGCTTAATAAGTTAATAGTACCATGGTTCTGTACAGCATATAAGTAATCATTTAGGCAATAAGAACAGCTAGGAAATGGGAATTGCCTTCAAATTTACCACCCGAAATCACCAACCAAAGTTAAGAATATGTATAATGTACAACAAATTCAGTAATTTTACAGATGTTATCAACAGTTACCAGCTAAAAGAGCAAGGTAACACTTTCATCCGATGTAGTTGCGAACTAGTGGTCACTATGCAATCAACTCAAGGACAAAGATCAGCAAGAGATCAACATAATCGCCAACTTTTGATTACACATGCAAGGCATGGCGATATAAGGGCAAGTCTGGAACTATACTTAAAAGCTAGTTACAAAGGACTTTGGTAAGATCCCAATAATGAAGTTTGCATGTATGGTGTAATAAAGTTTTGAGTTAAGCCTTCGTCAAGAGTCCAAAATTGAGAACTATTGTTGAGAGTAAAGTAACCTTTTCAATATGGAAGATTATAGTTGCTTGATCAAGTTGATTCTACAATACTTAGTATATCCCTATCTTTTCTGCTTTGATTTTCCTAAACTTGGATCCCATGCTCTAAGTTAGTACATAATCCTAATCATTATAACTAAAAATATTTTTTGTTTATAGTCCAGATTCCAGAAGAATATTTCAGTTCGAAAATAAAGATTTATGCTCTTTGTAATTTTCAACATTACAACCATCCTAGAAACAAAATATGACATGCCAAAACCCTGGAGCACTTCAAAGTTCAAATTCAAAATTCAGTTTTTCACCAACAAAATAAAAATAGATAGAAAACCGATACTTAAATTGAATATTTCATTTGAACGCAAGTCATAAAAACAATGTGCAGCCCTACCTCTTAAAGTTGTTGCTACATCAAAAATAAGACACCACTAAAGTGGCTAAAGCACTACCTTTGACAGCAGAATTTAGACTTAGACAAGGGCAACAACAATAAGGAACTTTGAGGTATCCTTTAACAAGTACTGCCTCTGTTTCATGATAATGGTAACACTTTCTATATGGGTGTTTAAAATTAATGGTTACACTTTTCTTTATTTCATTCTACTTTTGGGTGGATGACCGACCTTTTCAAATGCATTTATTTTCTTATATTTCTCAAATTACTTGCAACATTCCACTAAACCTATTTTAAATTTTTTAATTGTTCTTTTTCTTTAACATTCCACTAAATCTATTTTAACACTTCTTTTCGTACAACATTCAATTATCACCAAAACCTATACTTTTCTCATACATTCTAATCATTTCTCCTAATTATTCACAACATGATGTGTAACTATTATAACAAAAACGAGTATATTTGACCAGCTCATATAGTGATGTACTTCAACAAATATAAATTCTAATCAATTATTAGCTTCTTATCCATGTTATATAGACACAAATAGTAGAATGTGTTACAATAAGAAAGAAGTTCAAAGGATAAGTTAGTTTGTGAATGACACTGACCTTTCTTGCTTCAGGTTCTTCTTCTGACTCCTCAAGCTCCAATTCTGAGAAGAATGCTTCCAACACAAAAGCAATGATCTGAAACCATAATCAGATAACATTTTTCATTAGTTTAGTCACAATATAAAACACCGAGAAACGTTACCAATGATAGGAAAGAATAAAATTCTAGGACACTGAGTAATATTTAGTTCATAAAATAAACATTGGACTTAACTTTTTATGTTCTAAGAAAATTAAAATCAAGGTCTAGGCTCTATAAGGTTATAATTTGCACACAGTCCAAAGATAGAGACTTTTTTTTTTTTGGGGGTGGGGGGGGGGCATGTGGGCAAAGTAAGTTGGCCAAAATTTGAACCTTCTGTTCAGGGTAAGGGGTAATTGGGTTAAAATGTAACAAAGTCGTAACCAATGGAATAAAGTAACAGCGTAGAGAACAAAAAAGAACAGGCATATATGGAAAATATAAAAAATATCAAGGAACGGAGGTTTGACAACAACCAACCTGTGTTTTTAGAACATGGACTCAAAAGGCTTGGAATGCTCAAGTAATTTAGAACACAGGCCTTCATTTTATATTGTTATTGATAATTTTCTCTCGAAATAAATCCCCTTCCTAGTTTCCTACACTTGTTATCTTCTTTCTTAGAGCAAAATAAAAATCCAACATCCTTCAATTCTTTTAAAGTCAATTTCTCATAAATTCTCTGCCTCTCAAGTAAAACTATTTCCAATACAATGAGATCATAAAAAAAGAAAATTACAAAAAATACCTCGAAATGATTTAAATGAAGTTCTCCGGAGTTTATTATCCAGGAGTATTAAAGTAGGAATTAGTCTGATAAAGTACGATAAATAAATAAAAATCAACAAATCCATTCAAAAAAAGTTCACAATTTTTATATTATCTTACGACGTGACAATAAAATTTCGATTGTTTTAGAATAAAACCCCAATCTGTGCTTGAGTTCAGATTCAAATTTTGATTCAATTCCATTATCAATCAAATAAGGAATAGGTCTATTTTTTATTTATTTTTGGTTCTAAAACTCGCAGTTCTAGTAGTCGACTCGGTTCTTTCAAACTATTTTTCATTATTAAGAAAAGGTAACAAAGATAAAATACGAGCTTGTTATATAGCACTAGTAATTAATCATTGTTGTTTCAAGGTCAATCTATTCACCCGCCTAGAAAAAATTTTACTTGTTCACTAATAAATCGACTAATTTTTCTTTGTTCACTAGTTTGTGAAAGCTAATGTAGAACATCAATGTTAAAAACAAGAGTAAGAGGAAGCTGAACTTAGTTTCGTTGGAGAGAAGCATGTGTTGCACGGGAAAGACGGGGATTGACGACTTCAGTTGATTGTAAACAATTAGTAATAGCATAAATAACACAACTGTAGAGAGTGAAAAGTAATGGGGCAGAGTGACGTAGGGCATCAGAAGAAATTAGCTGCAAGATGTTATGAATCGTGAAAAAAAGGCTACAAAAACTCCATGAGTTATTCTTGAAAGGCTGAGATAAACCAGAGGTGTAATAAATACTCCATATGAGTTATTCTTGAGAGGCTGAGGTAAAACTAGAGGTGTAATAAATAATCAATCAACCAAAGCCTTAATCCCATAAGGGAGTTTGTGTCAAAAAAAATAAAAAAAATCCCATAAGGGGGTCGGCTTCATGAACCAAAAGTGATTTTCCGTATAGTTATCCACAAAATATTTCAGGTGTAATAAATAAGTTTGTACCAAATTGCACATGTTGATCAATGTTCTTAAATCAAAGGAGATGCTAAGTATACTTCAAAAAAGAGCTGAGGCTAGTGTTTACTAAATGTAAAATAAGCAACACTGTGGAGAGAGGTAAAAACTAACCAAAAGAACAAAAAAAAGACGACTTACCAAGTTCAAGATAAGCATCACCGTGATGAGGTAAAAACTAACAAAGTACATCAGGCTCCATGAAGTTCTTGTCAAGTCCCAGTATGTCTGAGGAAAAAAAAAAAAAAAAAAAAAAAAACAATTCCCTTTAATAAGTATGTTGCAGTTTTTGTTGCTCATGCAATGTTATTATGCATGGTACATCAATGAATGAGTATCCTAGAGTTATCGTAATCTACCATATAACCTTCCAACACTTTGAAAGACAAAGTATAAAAGTGTCATAGGGCTAACCAACATCTAATCAGTATTTCAGTATTATCTGTAGAAGACAAAAAAAATTACATAACAAACATAGCTCATTAAAAAATCCTGTCATTCTTATGATAGAGCTAAGGGGAACATAATTAAGCTACAGCAGCAGCAACATATTTAAGTAGCCTAGTGTGGGTGACAACTTACAACAATACATGCTGAGTACATAACCTCATTTATTGCATCAACAATGCAACTTTACATAAGTGCACAATTAAAGTGTTTTGATAGTATTTCTTATTGTACTAAACTGTAAGAAGTATTGCAGCACACCCATTTAATCCCAATTTCAGTTGGGGGATCCATGTGGGAGAAAACTCACTTGCTGTTGGTCCACGAGGCCATGGGCAGTTGTTATATGAAAAATTATCTTTATAATGCCCTTGATAAGTGTTTGTTCATTCAAACTAGAATATGTGAAAGTTTAAGGTACCCTGATTCCCTAAGGGCTTTTTCTTCATGGAAAATCAATAGGCATTTACTTTTTTCATTGTTGCGTTGATTGGCTCGATGGCCTTAAATATGGAGTTTATGATGCGGATTTCAATCAGAATTAGCAAGCAACTCTATGAATTATATTGATGAATTCAATGAGCTTTGTGACTAAAGTTTAAAGAATAAAACTGTAATTTCCGCAAGAATAAAGGGTCTCTTCCTAGTCGCAACTAAAAGATGATCACGAGCTGCAACAATTTTTTTTATTACCATTCAAACAAATTATTACATAAGAAAACAATTAAGTTTCCTATAATAAATAAAATTTATCTTAAAACAAATAGTCATACATGTGCTTGAAACAAGAAAAATCCGCTCAAGTGAAGTGGGTTTTCAGTTTATAGGTACATCATATCATTCACGATCGTAATTAAAATATAATATCATTCAAATAATTCGTATCAGAGAATTTTTCTAAGGAGAGAGGCATTAAGGCAAGATTGAAGCTATAAGTTTGGAGTTGTTTGTCTGAACGCTGAAATCAGCTTTTTGGGAAAGTTAATGGCAATATATTCGGTGAGTATTGGAGTTTAGGTGCAATCTGGCCATATATTAATAAATTTATCACTTTCCAACAAGAGCAAAGAATAATCACCTTATCTATTTCTTGCTTTAACTACTGCAATAACATTATATGAAATTTAGGCTACTAGAATATGACACCAGATTTGGTGGGGTCCTAAGAAACACTGGTAATTTGATTCACAATTTACCCTGTTGGCAACAAATTAATATCATGGCAAGTCTTCTGCAAGTGAAGAGAATTCTAAATTCGGGAAAGGGGGTGGGGGTGGAGAAGAAAAGCATTTAGCATACTTCCAAAAGTTGCAGATAAATATCAGATTCTTTATTGAAATAGATCTAGAGCGCTATCTCAGTTTAAGTCAATCACCATGACAGTCAAGGATCATCCAGAAGACATATAAATGCACCACAAATGGAACGGTTACGCTACACTATTGAAAATTGAGAATTAAGGAACTCAGGTAAGCCTTAATTCTTTAACAAAACATGGAAGACAAAAGAAGTGATACCTGCATCCAGGCTTGCCAGTTCCCCATTACTACTAAATTGAACGTTGTCACCATAGCATTTGGATAGTCATTAAAGTTGAAGAGCAAATAACTGTTGTAGTTAAGAAAATCAATACATAAAAAGTCTGAATAAAGACTTAGGCAAGGAAAATAGAAGCTGACTAGTTCCTGTCCCATTAATATTGAGAATCACACGACTTTCAAACAGGTGACCAAAGTTTTGCACAAATTATGGGAAAAGGATACTCGTTTTCAGCAAGATCAGATCCTTCTAGTAAAGCATTCCCTGCGTTAACAATCCCGCCAAAAACCTGTCAAACAAGAGTATGAGATTATTTAAGGGAACCAACAGAAGATGCTGCACTGGGATATACCGAGGCAAATTTAGCAAAAAAAAAAAAAAAAAAGGAAAACCATAGGAAGAAAACAGCAGGAAAAAAAGGACAAAACAATATTTTACTGGACATGCAGAATTTGCTGATTACCAGTACAAAAAAAAAAAAAAAAAAAAGGTAGCTTGTATATAGCACTTGTAAGGAAAAGGTTATTTATGAAGCTATAACAATATTTCTTATAAAGAACGAGGAATACCTGTATTGGCAAAGATTCTAAAATACCATTCGTGGATAATAGAATAATACTTTGTGCAATAATAACTCACACTCTCTAACGTATCTTTTACATTTCAGAATCTAATAGCCCATTTAAATATAAATCAAAATAATAAAAAAATACTTCAAAACTGATATTGTAGGGAGATGGAAATTACAAACATTAGATGTATCAGAAGACATGAAATTTCAGTAGACAGAATTACACACCTGAACACCAAGAGAGCTATAGATGCACATGACGCAAAAAACAGTCCCCAGATATGGCATCAAGCTTGGAATCAAAGTCAAAAATGTTGCTACAAAGGCCCGATAACGTTTGACTCGCATTGACAATCTTACTAAACGTAAAACTCTAGCAAGGATAAGATAACGAATCCTGTTTTATATTAGGAAGAAAACAATGATCCATCAAAAATCAATATTGTGAAAAAACTTTATAGCAAGGAAGATAACAATAACTTCACAGAGGAAAGGGAACAAAAAGATCAGGAACAATAAAAAGGGATCCTACACTTCTTTCAGCTAGAAATGGACTACCCAGTTCACCACACATACATCTATTACATCTAAAATGAGCATCAAATTGAATAAAACCATACATACTGGTATGTAACATATATACTGCCCCATCAGATACTCATAATTATAGTTAAACCGCACTCATCTAGTCATCTAAAGGTCAAAAGATCAGCCCCACATCTTAAGCACTTACTGTGTAAAATAAACAGTGATGAATATGAAAAAGAAATAAAAAGAAAGTGGTTTAGTACATTAAATTCTAAAATAAAAGAAACCCAAGTGTCTCCTGGTAGAGCATAGCATACGAAGATTACAGAGATTATTGTGTTAGAATAATGTCCTTCAATCAAGGTGATAAATAGTTTGAAGGTTCAATCACAGACAGTTAATTTATGTCAAGTGACTGAAATATTTAGTTGTAAACCATTTAGCAAGTACTTTACGACACACTCCTAGCTGAATCTATTGGGTCACACACAATAGCAAAGAACGAATCAAGTCTAGAGGTGGATTAGAAGCCCAATAGTCACACACCAAAAAAAAGAGAACTAGGGAAATGTGCATGGTCTTCAGTGGCGGATCTAGAATGGATTCAGTTGGTTCAGCTAAACCCATGTCGGATCTAGAAGAAAAACTGATTAGTTTCTTTAATTATTAAAACAATGAAACTATTTAAGTAAAATATGTTAGCTATTGCAGCAGCACAGCAGTAGGAGCTTGACTAACCTAACTCATAGGTCGTGGGTTCGAATATGCCAAGCTCTGTTTTTGGTTTTTTTTTTTTTTTTAACGTGTCTATGTTCTTTTGCTTACCCCAAAAATGTTAATCCTTTGAAGATCAACCACATTCAAACAGATTCCATTCCTAATTCCCCCTGTCTCTAATTTATTCTTAAAAATTATAACTTCTAGTCCATGTCACATTGGGTTCAATTGTAGTTCTTTCGTAAGTTGTATTTTTTTTTTAACGTGTCTATTTTCTTTTTTTCTTTTGCTTACCCGTATACCCAATCACCTATTACCTCAAAAATGTTAATCCTTTGAAGATCAACCACATTCAAACAGATTCCATTCCTAATTCCCCGTCTCTAATTTATTCTTAAAAATTTTAACTTCTAGTCCATGTCACATCGGGTTCAATTGTATTTCTTTCGTAAGTTGTATTTTTTTTTTTACATGTGCACACCCAAATTATTATTTATAGGTTGTAGTTTGGATTATGCCCTTGTAGTAGATTTTACTACTGTAGATGTGTTTAGTGACTCCAAACCCATAACGAACAATTACTAGAACCGCCACTTATGATCTTGAAACTTGTGTGGCTGTGTGCATGATTTCCCTAAGGTGGTTATCTAGGGTTTTGAATCGAACCTGAGGCTTCCTACAAAGTGAAAACATACATTTGCATTCAATTTCCTATCAATACAAGAACCCTAAAGCTAAACTCCACAAGTAGATTGTATATTGTTTCTTCGTCATTCTAAGCTAGCAAACTCGACAACGATTCAATATGTGTCGTGTAAATATCAATAGAAGGACAACATTTGACGTCCTCACACTGCAATTGATTGGATCGGCAAGGAAGAATACACAACAAAGGTATAATCAATTTTTTAAAATCCACGATCAATACGTGTAGATCCTTTGATGTTATTTCCCCGCAAAATCGTATATTTATTATAAAAATCCCAACACATTGAACCAATGACCTTAAAACAAGATACATAGAGCATCCAGCCTGATTAGATAATATGAGAAGTATAACACATAGATTTGGAAAAAATATTTTAATGAAAGATAAGCATAGTGAAACTACTATGTTCCAAAGTCCAATGTACTAGGGCTAATATTATGCAGAATAATGCATTCACAATCTGGAAACTTTTAATGTTACCATTCTCCATTGGATAGAAAGCTTTGGCCTTCTGGTGTAGCAAGGGTCACTGTTTCGCCAACAACTGCAAACATTTTGAAAAGATTCAGGTGAAGGGAAGCAGAGTGCTTGAATAAGTTGATCAATTAAAAGATCATATCTTTAAGTAACTTTGATTCAGAAGAAAAATGTCACAGCACAATATTTCCTCTTTAGACTGCCCAAAATACAATATAGATGCTTCAGCTGTGTTCAGTTGTATAAGTCAGGAATGTAAAGCATGTTTGTTCAGCATGCCAATTTTCCGAATCTATCTGTCAGAATACATTTTAGGCATCAACAGCCATCAAGTCACTGAAGTTCTACAGCTTATTTGATAACCATACCACTAGTGCAGAAGTGACCTTGAGATATGCAATTAAAACTTTGGCAGATTCTCCTACTAAGGGTTAGGGGTAGGGTCAGGGTGGAAGGTGCCCAAATGCAGTGACAGATAAATCATGATAGATAAAGAAATAAATTAAATGTGAAGCAAAACAAGTTTGATCATCAGAAGATTACCTATTACACAAGTTATGACAAAATCAAAGCGGTTTTGTCCATCCCTCCAATAATTCACAAAACCATGTGCATATATCTTCAAACCCATTTCAAGCACATATATCCAGCCTGTTACCAAAAAAAGGGGGTTTTACCAATTATTTAGGAAACCATCATAAAGGTAGACAGTTTGCAGTTTAGATAAACATATATGGATGAATAAAAACGGTTATGATAGATGATCAATTAAGCAATAGTATATCTGTATATGTATAAGTGAGCTATATAATATGTGCATAGTTTACAGTTGTCATTTATCCCTTAATTACAGCCTTTTAAGAGTAGAATAACAAAACTTATGAGCACAGAAAACAAGAGCAAGATGTATGATAAAATACTAGGTTAAAGAGAGGATGAGACTTAGATAGTGTTCTTTTCACTTGAATCTCACTTATCAAATTGGCATTGAACTTGTCTAATCTTGTTTGAAATGAACTTATTAACCCTTACTTGATCTTTTTGGACCTTCTTATTAGATCTTAATGGTATTTATTTTAGCTCTTTTTTTTTGTGAATATATCTACCCTTATCTTACTTGTAATTATCAGACCTTATTTATCTAATCTAAACTTATATGAATTTAATAGCCCTTATCTTACCTGGATTTATTAGGCTTTAAACAAATCTATGTAGCTACAGTTTTCCTTGAAGTGGGTGGGCTAACTTAGTGAAAATAAGGTGAGGAGAGCAGAGCCTTAATGTGGTATAAGAGAAATAGTGAGGAAAAAAAAATAGTCTACATTAGTGTCTTCAACTCATAATAGAAGTATCAAGAATCTTTTGGAGGACTTATTCTTTCAATTTATTTAGAAGACTACCTTGTGTGTTGAAGCAGTCTCTCTACTGAAATAACATTGCATACATTTGTACCTCCATCCATACTGCCTGGTGACAGCTTGAAAGCATATTGGTGCAAAAATTCTTAACATATTTGTAATCCTATTGACAGATTTTAGGTTTTAGTAAAAGTTTAGTAAGGAATGATACTCCTATGTCTACTTATCGATCTCTAAATTCTCTAACCTCACTGATTTCCAATGCAATAATCCCGTAATTCATAATATAAAATGACATGCTCAACAGAAGCTACACTGCAAAAATTTACTTGAACATTTGGCACAATAATTTCATATAGGATCCAAATTAAACGTAATTTGTTTAGGATGTTCTAAGTCCATACCAAACACAAATTCTACCACTTGCCAGAGTTGCTGAGCTGAACTATCAGCTATGTCAAGCTGCACAGTTACCATCATAAATGCATTATAAACTCAAAGCATCACCAATAAAAATCAAAGTTGAAAAGAAATCATAAAGGCATGAAAGTGCTTCAGCTTCAGGAATTATTTTTACCGTGGTTTCAATGATAACTGCTATCAAATTTATCACAAGGATGATAACAACAATGTTTGCAAAAGTATCACTCCGAATAAAGGTCTTCAACTTTTCAGAGAAAGGAGAGTAGTAAATTGACGGCATTGCCTCAAAACACGATGGCTGCATGAAAAGGAAATATAGCATATGACCAGAAAAATAGTGAGTTGCTCATATAAGAATCCAATGGCATGACATAGGTCGTCAAATTCTTCTTCATTAATTTGCTCATATAAGAAAAATAGTGAGCTGCTCATATAATTTGGCCAAACGTCGAACAAACTTACACAATCTTCTTTTGCAAACTTTGTTGCAATGGCATGACATAGGTCGTCAAATTCTTCTTCATTAATCTGCTCAAGAATAGGAATAAAGTAAACAAGTTACTGTAAAGAACAAATTTCCATCACAACTGTTATTAAGGAAATCTATTATAGCATGTAGAGCAACTTAAAATGATAATTTAGTACCATAAAAACAACCTTAAAATCATGACTATCATCCAGCTCGTCAAATATCAGTTCAAAGTCTTCTTTTGATATTTTTGGCAGCGACCTGAAAACAGCACAAATTTACACAGGATTTATCACACAGCAGAATCAAGAAAACGGGTTACGACTCATAAGATGTATGCCAAAGTAATGTGTATTGATTCCTTAGATACAGTATGTTGACTCCAGATCAATAAGAACACAGCATGACCAAAAAAAGTGCTGAAAAGTAGGACCAAATTCTTAAACTGACGAAATCAAGAAGAAAGAGAAATAAGCAAAGTTTAGATTGATAACAACTAGACGCGATGCAGAATCTCCAACACGGTGCTTTAGTACAGAATTACATCCTTTTTCAACCATCAACATGAACATATCTTTGAATAATCTATAGCATTAAATGCAAAACAAAAAGAAAGAAAAGGAAAAAGACCAACATTTTTTATATTCTGAGTAATTTAGTCATAGAATAAATTCCAAGTCATTTGATGATAACTAATCTCAATTATCTCTAACTCACTATTTTCATTCCAGGGACAATGCATCCGCTCCACAAAAGCTTCCAATCACTTAGATCGTTATTCTTCCCTGTAGATGGCCAAAACTATTATTGGGTTTTATATATAAACTCAAGCACTTAATCCATCCTTAATTTCTGTCCCTCTTTGATCATTTAGCATTTGAACAACAACTTTTTATTTAATCTAGCACATGGCGCCTAAATGTTTGAATGGCCCTATATTAATCTTTGTTTTACTTGTAAATTTTTATTCTTACTTCCTTATCAGGGTGTTCCCAATATATTATTTTTTTTTTTTTTTTTTTTTTTTGGACAAATCTTTTCACTTTGGGAATTTTTACCATACTCCCTTTGACACCCATTTTTTGTAAAATTCAACACTGATAGGAAAGAGCTATGTTACTTTAACTCTTCATTTTACCTCAAGTACCTATGTCGGATCCTCAACATTTAGACATGAGTATGAAATTAAGTTTAGATCAAAATCACATAATTTTCTCACAAAACAGCTGAGTCGAACACTTGGACACGTATCCGTGTCGTGTCGGTACTTGAGTCTGAGTAACATAGGGAGTGATAGTGTTTATAAATAGAAAATTTTGTTAGAACTAATCTTTTAAGTAGCTCTCTAGTGAAAAATGTCCTTCCATAAAAAAGGGTGAAAATTAGGACCTTAAATAAAAAAAAATTATTGTAAAGTGGGATATGTCAAATCTCTAGTGTTGACTTGTTTTACATATTTTTACTTTGTTTTCTGCCCTTTCTCCTCCTCAACCACCACGCCAACTAGCCCACCGGTAGCTATCCTCCCCCGCCACACCAAATCCCCTACTTCCTCTCCCTCACCTTAACTCTCACACCCCAAATCTCATTCTTTACTTTATCACCGGAAACAACTGCTAATCACCCCATCCAACCTACTACAAGCCATCACCATCCCCGCTAGATACTGCCCATAGACTCCTCTCTTCTCTCACGTATTTTTTCTAATCTCTTTCAACGCTACCTCTATCCTCTCTTCAAACCCACAATTGTAGCCACATTGTGCTATCTACTAGCGACCCGCTCCTACCCAGCTTCCACCCATACAACTCTCTCATTCTCTCACCCCTTTATCCCCAACTGATTGTGGATTTAATCTTATTCACATATTTGTGATGAACCTACTTGATCCGCCAAGTCAACAGCAACCTACTCAAGTGTATACAAGGGGGAAACAATATGGCAAAGGAGACAAACAGCAGAACAGTCAGCAGCAGGGTGAAAGGCCGTTAGAGGAAGGAGACAAGGAAGTTTAATGAATCACTTGGTGGAGTGGCTACACACAAGAGCAGACTGATTTTCTGATTTCAATAGAAGACATATACTTACCTCCGTTTTTTATTAGTTTACACGTATTCCTTTTTAGGAAGTTTTTTTTTTAGTTGACACGTTTCCTTTTGGGTAAGTTTTATACCTTGCTTTTTAAGTGTACCCCTCTTGCTTTATCATTCTTTCTCACAATCTCTCCTCTCCTTAATATGTGTGCCTAAATTGAACGTGTCAACTAAATAGAAACGAAGGAAGTAGCAATTAAGACTAGGATGCTTTTTGAGCAGTGTTTGTAATATATAATGAATGGGAATGGCGGGAGGAGGGTATGTGAAATTTGTGAGGAGAAAACTTGAGAGAGTAGCTTCCTAAAGTGGCTATTTGGAGATCAATAGCCTGAAGCTATTACTTCTGTAAGTTGTAACCATTACATTTTCAATTAAAATGAATTAAGCTTCCTGCTATCTTACTTTGGAATTCTTTATCAACTTTCTGTCGATTATTGAATCCATTACAATTATTCATGTAGCTCATGATAGAAAAGAAGGGTTAAATTTATTCAATAGATTTTATTTGGTTCAGGTGAGGTTCAATGGTGCAATGGAAGAAATTGGAAGAGATAACGTTGAAAGAGGATACATATGGTGATGGTGGAGGGAAAGTGGTGTGATGTTGATGGAATGGTGGTAAGATGGTGGTGGATTGCTTGGCATGATAGTTAGGGAGGAAAAACGGCAAGAATTCAGGCAAAATTCAAATCATGTGCTGCACAAGTGAGGGTCAACACCAGAAAAACCATGTTAATGCTCAAAATCTGGCTAAAGGTCCCCTTTCACAATTTAAACAAAAAAATAACCATTTAAAGCCCTAATTTGCCACTTTTTTTTATATATGAAAGGAACATTCTCACAAAAGATCTACTTAAAAAGGTCTCTTTTGTCAAATTGACCTACAAAATACATTTAAAAAATAGAATTATGCAAATTGGAATCAGCTAGTGATATTCCCAAGCAAGACTAAAGCATAACCACCAGTCCACCAACCAAGGTACAAATCACAAAGCAAAGAAGTAAAAAAATCATTCTAAAGGGTTAAAATATATACCTATATTTATTCAATTCTTCAAATAGACAAAGACATTGCTCTTGATTAAGAAATCCAAGATTCTGCAAAGATTAGAGAAGATGCTTTGAAATTACACGTCAATAATAAGCTAATGATTTACGGGAAAAATAGTAACATGAAAGATGTAAAATCGCTGACGAAAGGTTATGAGAGAGATACACATAACTTCTAGGCTTCTAGCAATTGCAGAGTAATTTAAAAGAGGTAGATCAGCCCCAACACTTTATCATGCAATCCACCCCTTTGTGTATTTGAAAGGAATAATGCAGTAACATTACTCATGCTGAATCTACCATTGTACTCTTATTTATTTTTCAGGCAATTTCTCACTGAAAAAGCAGCACCTAACAGGTAACGCCTTTGTAAATCAGGAAGTTACATCTATCTATGCTTGCTTTATTTGAGATATAGTATATTGTTATATAATTAAAAGAGCAAGACCATGAGATTGGTAAAGTGATGTCTGGACTATAAAGAAAGATGGAAAGCCAGACTGCCAGAGGCGAGACATAGTTGGAGCAAAAGCATACCCCCCCCCCCCCCTCCCCCTCCACCCACTTGAAAGGCAGAGAAGTATTCATTTTTTTTTTCTTCTTTTAAAGTTTTCTATTGGTCTGACCTTTGCTATAATCATTTGGCCCTCTTAGGCCCTTAACAACCAAGGCTAGCTTCGCCCATGATGGAAACATCCAAAAGTGGATCAATAACACGTTAAAGAAGGCAAGCATCATATATTTTATAAACAGGATTAGCCAGAGTTTCATGAAGCACATCCTAATATTTGTTCTTTATTTTAAATCATTAATGATCCCTCACTGCTCTGCTGATAAGTAACATGAGCACCTAAAATGGAAATGATATCATGAGTTTATGACATACTACAAAATGAGAAGGATGCATGAACACTGAACAAAGACATGATCTAATAGATTAGGTCGGCTGGTTGGCCTACTTACCAGCCTTTATACATGTAATGGAGAGGAGAGGGATGAAAGTGAATCTGGACCCGACCCGGATCTGTAGATCCCTTTTTTACAGATAGGTATGGGCCTTCAAAAATTGAACGGTTGGATCCGGGTCCATTGAAAAAAACAGATCCGGGTCAGGTGTAACAATAATATCTGGACACAGATTTGTTAACCCATTTTTTAATTTCCCCAAAAAAAATAAGTTTGACTCGAACATTATTGTTTGTAATGGGTCTAACTATAACTGTCAACATTTTTTTTTGTTTGCTCACATGTACTTGTTTCGTTGTTTATTATGTTATGTTATTTTGTAGAACAAGTGTATAAGTTGGTTGTTTAATACTTTTGGATTAGTTGTATAACTTTAATTTAAGTATTGAACATAATTATCCCTGACGAAAGCTTGAAATGCATTTCGTTGACTTGAACATTATTTTAGTTGTAAAAAAATTAGGCAAAATGTGCAAGACCCATTTAAGACCCGGATCAGGTGGACCCCGTGAGATCTGAAACTGGATTTCCATTTTCCATATCTGGGTCAAATCTGGATCTAGGGTAGAATTGTAGAAAAACGGATCTATCCATGAAATGAATCCCCCACTCCCATCCAAAATTGAAAATTATATTTCTCAAGTCTTCTAGCACATTATAATGGAGAAAAATACAGGCATTACACTTACATATCTATCCATCAAACGAAAGGCTTTAAGCAGTATATTTTTCCTCATACTGTCCATCTCAGAAACTTGTTTGGCAAGCTGCAAAACCAATAATTTCACGACATTGTGAAACATGATATGATAATCAAATAAATAAATAAGATAATCACTTTTAAAGCAGGTTAACACACCTCACTTTTAAAGCTGTCATACACAACGGCAAGAATCAAGTTTGTGACGAAGTAGACACCCAGTAAGATGTACAGAACAAAAAAACAGGGAATACCAACGTGAAGCCCTGAGGTAGAAAACACAATAAAATGCAACAAAAGAGATGTGATCATAGACGGTAAATACAAAAAAAAAAAATTGAAACAAAAAGGGAATAAAATGTAATCAAAATTCTTGAAGACCTTACTGCAAGGCTAGAAACAGGAAGAAAACGAACCAATCACCACAAACCAACATGAAAATATTACATAACCAACTTTTAAAAACTCAATAATATAAGAAACTACACTAATGCTCATACGCTTTTCCCTTTGTCATTTTTCTTTACCAATTCAATTAATTTTTAGTTAAAATTTTAAATTACCTGTTGACATCATCAATATAATCCTTTGCACAAAGGTATGTTTTTCTCGAAAAACTAATAACATTAAGCTGGAAGACTCATTGGGAACCATGGATGAGTGAAGCAGAGATAAATTCATATATTTCTAAAAACAATAAGCTAATTCTAAAGCTGAAAAAGATATCTGAGCCTTGGAGGAACATTTATTTTTTTCATGACAATTCCTTGTTCTTCTTTTCCCTTATCAAATTAGTTATAATTCATGGATTAACTACACATTTTAAGGGCTCGCTCCAGAATTAAAAAATTAGAATCTCATCTAAATGCAATGTTGTTTAAAGAGATACTGAAAATATTCTATATTAAAGATAAAGTTCAAACAAAAACAGAATGAAGAAGTTAAAAGCCCCTCAAACCATCATGGTCTTTCAAACTCCCTCTTTTTTTTTTCTTATTGCTATTGGAGCCTTAGATTCAAAAGGTGTGAGATGCACCAAGACACAAAAGATCCCTACAGCGGCTTAGGCACAAAATTAAAACCAATGACAAAGGCAAACCACACACCTACTAGATACGAGGCACCCATTTATTACAATACTTTAAATTGTTTTTTCTCATCTTTAGACATTTGCATACAAAGAACATCACCATTAAAATAGGATTAAAAGCCCTAGCATTTCACAAATCGTTACTACTTGCTGGTCAGAAACCCAAAAAAAAAAGATCTAATGTTTACAAATTAATACTTTGTTTAAACAAGTTAGGTTGTATACTACACGATGAGTGCTTAATGAACTTATGCACACTACACCAGCAAAAGAGCAGCATCTAGAGAGTTACTAGTTTTTACAAGATATCAGATTTTAAAGAAGTAAACCATTCTGAGAAGTCAATCTCACTTGTATGCAGGAATCCAAACATCAGGACTGTTGGAAGTTGTGAATAGAATGAACATTTGATACAATGTAGTGCCATATGACGTAAAAACTTCGGCTCCCTGTTGAGTATCTTCAAACATAACATAAGCTATCCAGCTTGAGAACAAGAGAAACACAAGTGTGAGTGCCTGCATTTATTGAAATTACATTAAATGAAAGGTTTTCAAATATAGAGGTGATGAGGATTTAATACAAGGGATTCAAAAGAATTAGCAGATGGATAACCTAGAAGATACCTGCAATAGTACTTTTAGGCATACATGATTTAGGATCATATAAAAACAACTGGTTAATAAAACAAGCAGAAATGCCAGATGTTGGATTACTAACCCAGACATTGAGATACGTAGGAAGCATCCCAACTAGAACAACAACACTTCTTCTTAATTCCCTACAAACAAAAAAATCAGAATTTAGAGAATAGGATTTTGACTCTCATTATAACAAAACGTCACTGTAACATTGCAGTTACAACGAAGCACAATATTTATCCTTTGGTTTACTTGCAAGGACACCACTACTAAACAAACTATTAATTAAATTACTTCCTCCACTTCTCTTTTACCGGCACATTTTTGACATTCGACATTATTCACATAAGTTACATTGACTTCTTTCTATGATTTATCCTTGAAAAACATACTCATGTAAGATCTTGTTAGATACGTCTCGACGTCTATTATTCTAATATCAATTTTTTTTTAAAATTTTGAATATAAATAATTGAAGACATTAATGTTTGAAGTTATGCATTGGCAAATATGTCAAATATGTCAAATAATATGAAACAGAGTAATTATGTAACAAGAAACTTTTTTATAATTAGTAGTTTAGTACTACTTATGTTTCGTAATGTTCTTAACATTTACAGTTTGCACAAGAAATAAGACTTGGGAGGGAGAGAGTAAAAAGGTGGTTGAGTGCAAGAAAAAGGAACATTGAAGTAAAGGAGTAATAAAGTGGGTGGGTGTAAGAAAAAAAAAAAGTTAAAGCAAGTGAGTAGAAAGGTATAAATATTTTGGGGTAAGGGGTAAAATGGTAAAGGGAGTTGCCAAATATAAAATAAAGTAGATATGTTAAGAACATTATAAAATAGAAGTAGTATATAATCGTTATCAAAATGTAAAATGATTTAAGTGTGTTTTACACAAATTATAAAATTTTGCTTCATCACCTAAACCAAAAACAAGGTTTGTGTTCATGCACTATTACAAATAAATAATAAAGAAAAACGTAGGTAATCCATGTTTCAAGAATTTTGATTTAAATCTAGAACATATCAAGCTCTAGTAAGAAAGTAATGTGAACCCATATTAAAAATGGTTTTGAAAATTCACAACCAAATATAAGATTTAAGAAGTTGGTAATCTCTAACTCTACCACTATTCCCTAATCTTAAAGGTTTTTTATTCAAAAATAAATAAATAGGCAGTTGTGTACAATATGTCCCAATGTAAAGTTTACTCTTCATATTTACTACTACTTTTTCAAGGACCAAATGACTCCAAGAAAGTGACAACGCTTGGACAAAAGATATAGAGGTCTCCTACGTGTCCTTTATCATTTTCTTATGTGATGCTGGGACTTATCACTTTTTTTTTTATTAGAAAAGCCGAAGCTAGCATTATATAGATAGGGAGTCCATAAGAACGCAAGGAGCGATTGGTTTGGGACAATGATTCTCCCAAATTTGTTCGACTCCAAACGGACCTAGATTAGTGACATGAGATCAACAAACATAATTAAAGCAATAATTCAAAGCTAGGATATCTCCTCCAAAAGGATTACATTGCCCTTAAAGAAACAATTAATTAGCAGTTGGCACTCTTAGCAGTCCAACTCGATAATCACATTCCCCAAACCAAACCTTTTACCAAGACGCAAAGCCATGGAGACAACTTTAGCCTCGGAAATTTCAGAGGACCAGAAGGCCCTGTTCCTCCTCATGGCTGTGACCAGAACACTCCCCTCATGATTTCTAGCTACAATCCCAAGACCCACCCATCCTTCCACCTGCAGCGACACATCCACATTAATTTTAATAGTACCTACAGGGGGAGTGCACCACTTCTTCTGACTTACTTGTGTCAACGCGGCCCAAACACGGTGTGAACACCAGCAGGCAGCTGTGAATCGGCAAGAAACGTTATCGTAAAGATAAAGATCGCCTCTGACTTGTCACTTAATCTAGCCGTACTTGTGTCAATGCTGCCAAAACACGGTGTGAACACAAAATATATATAGGACTTGGGATTGAGAAAACGACCAAACATCCTACGACAAGTGTAAAAAGGAAAGCACTCGTTTACCCCTTACTATGCCTGTTTGAAAGTAAATAAATTTGCAAAAAGATCTGATGATTTGTTGATTTAATCAAAGGCATTTGATTTGGTAGGTGGGAGAATGATTTAATTTTTGGTGGGAGCTGTTAAATTAGTGGAATCATATTAGGATTCTAATGTGATTTAACTAATTCACTAAGTGATTGTTTAATTTTGTAAGTGAGGGTAATATTGACATTTTAACTTAAAATACTTACTATAAGTGGATTTTTTGGAAAGGTTGTAACTAATAGGAAGCAACCAAAAATAGTAAAAGTGGCAAGTAAATGTTAACGGAGGTAGTATCAAATTATGGCCAGAAAGATGTTACAATTATCTCACTGTATAGCAATTTCAAACAAAGGTAACCAATGAAATTTGTACACACCATAAGAAGAAGCTACAAGAACCAGTTTTAAGTGCATTACATTTGTGAGCACAGCAGTGTTACACAATTATGTTGTAACGATAATTTAAGGTAATTAGAATAAGCAAAACAAGTAATACCTGATATAAAGAATGAAAAAAAAGACTCGTATATAAGGAGCAACCCTGAAAGGAAGAGAGTTGAAAGCCAAAGGTGATACATAGAGCCCAAATATCAGCACATCAGCCGCCAATACAATAAGGAATATGACCTGAAAAGAATTATAGAAGATTTAAAAAATAAAATAAAAGAATGCAGTCTCAGTTCATGAAGTCGTAAAACGTTCTTTTAAACTAAGCCAAAGCCAAATTAGGGTAGATGTTGATGATATCCTTTATCTGTGGAGGATACCATATAAGCTTGGAGAAGGACACAAACATGTTTTTGAACTCCATAGGAAAAAATATGGAATTTGAGGTGCACATAACATAGATATTAAAACCCATAGTGTATCAGTCCCAAAGTATTAAGCTAATAAATAAGAAAGGTGATTCCGCTGATAGGAGACTTGCGACATAGATACTACTTAAGCAGCTGAACAATCATGTTCAGCTACAAATGGATTTTAGCCATTAAATTGCTGGCTTTTCTGGTGGAGTTTCACGATTTTCAGTTATTGGTCAAATTTGAGTTCAAATTTTATTGTCCTTGTACCTAAAATTGATCTGTCAAAGTAAGGGATTACTGCCGAATCTATCTCCTTACAACTGCGTTGTTAATATATAAAAGACAGGATGAGGTAGGTATTTCTCGATGACGTTTTGATAAATAAGGATTTTGGTAAGTTCGCTTATCGTATGTTGTTAACCATTGTGTGTTGATGTAATTGATGCTGTAATAGGAGCTCCGTTTGTTGAAACAAAAAATAAACGTAAGTATTAATTGGAAAAAAAAAAAAAAAAAAAAAAAAGGGAACCTAAAATCTCTAAATGACAATATTGACTAGTCATAAGTAGGACTCAATCTTACTTGAGGAAAACTGAAAGAGTAGAGAAGCAAAATCAACAAGAAGAGATTGCATATGAAAGTGAAGCACAAATACCTGTAATTTATTTAGAGACTTCTTCCAATAGATAAGTGGACCTTCATATGCAATTGGAAATAATATGTGGACTAGTAGTAATACTAAAGTTATAACCTGCAAAATGATAGAAGTTCCAAAAATTTGCAAAAATATTGAGATGTTAAAGTTCTCAATTTAAGCAACATGGGTCAAAATGAGATTCATACCTCAATTACAAGAGATTCAACGCCGGTTAAGTAAGGCAGTTGACCAAGGAAAAAATAATCCCTATCATTACAAGAATGTTCACTATATCTCCCGCACCATAAAGGTCTCTGTAAAGGTTTTGAGCACAGGAAAAGCCAGATTTCAGAACTGAAAATCCTCACCAGTCACAGCATTTTTATTTATTAAATTATTCCCTAGAGATCCTATATTAAAAACACTGAAAACAACATAGATGAGATTAAAGTAAATAACTAGTCACCTCAATAAAATTTAAGACTATCAATGCGAAATAATTGAGCGTCCAAAGAAAATCGAAACGAGTATAAACAAAATACAACTTTGCTAAATTTTCAAAGTTTGAATCATCTAGAATCTCCTCTGGTAGACCAACACCATCTTCTGCCTGCAAATTTAGCATTATCAGATGAGAATTTAAACTGCATTTGTCACAATTCGTTAATAGACAGAATATTTAATTGATATGTGAAATGGAAACCATATCCAAAGCCCAATTTTAAGACAGGAAAATCCCATGGAAAACAGAAACGGTACACATATATCTACTGAGGATGATAAATCCTTCTACCTAAGATGGGAGAACAAGAATGAACAAAAAAAAAAATAACTCATAAATAGATCTATGAGAAGTATTAAAGCTAAAAAAACCCATCACTCTGCACTACAATTATTAAGTATCAATTACTCATGTTATCCGACTTTTTTTGGTTCTCCAAGAAGCAAATTGGTTTTTTTTTTTTTTTTAATAAACAATAGATCGTTACAATTCCATCATTGTGGGATGCTAGAGTGAACTGAATTTGTAGGTACTAATGAAGATAAAGTATAACTACAACAATGTCTTACCCCAATAAGGTTGGGATAAGTTGCATGAACTAAGAGTGTATATATTCTGGTTATCTAGAAAGATGTATTTCCTCCTTTCTTTTGTGACTTACACTGAGTCTCTAGCAAGGTTAAGTTGTTTAAAATTCCCTCCATCTAAGTCATTTTAGCCTCTTAGACGTCCCTTGACTTCTTATAAAATTCTCACCATCCATTTTCTTTACCCTCCTTTATAGTGCGTCCTCTAATCACCCAAATTAAGATACTTCTCCCCTATCTCATCCTTCATAACTCTTATTCTACAAATTCCTCCAAATATTAAATTCCTAATTTTATCCATTATAATGTTGCCACACGTCCATCTCGATGCACGATGCATCCCTATTCAGCCCATCTTCTTAATATGCCCTTTCTCAAATGCCTAATATTCTAAGCCTGTATCACAACAGTGTCTTATTGCCATCCTATAAAAATTTCCCTCAAACTTAAAGCACACTTTAATTACAAAATAACCCAATCACCGCTCTTCATTTGATCAAGCCAGACATTTCGAATTTGTAACTTCATACTTCTTACTTTTTTGTTATACTTACAACACTTTTGACTTTAGTACTATTCACATATGCTACTTTAATTATCTTTGATAATTTACTCACTCTATTTTTTTATATTTGCATGCCTTTGACTATTACAATACACACACTGTCCTTTTAATTTTTTTACTATCATAGAATGAAAAAATGTTATACGTAATATATCATTAGATTAGTTAAAATGTCTATCTTCATAAATTAATTTTTTCTTACAAATTTTACTAATAGACAAATTAAAAATATTAATGGTCAAAGTTATGTATCAGCAAATGTGTCGATGAAAGTGATACAATTATACAAATATTTTTAAAACGGAGATTTGTCTTTTCATTAAGTTTCATATTTCAAATTTTTACACATTGCTAATAGGAAATACAAGTATGTCTCAGCAACCATGAAATATTTGTGTTAAGTATAAAAAAAAATAAAAACTAAAATAAAAGGAAGTAAATAACTTAATAAACCATTCCCAAAAAAAAAAAAAAAATAATAATAAGTTTTGTAATAGAAAATACAGCTTTATTTGAAAATAATAAGATGCAATTAACTTTTCTAGAAAAATTGGACAATAAGTTGTACAATAATGCATGGAACTTAATGAAAAGACACCATCAAAAAATATGTTTAAAGTCGAATCTTAAAATATTGTGTCTTAATACACTATAATTCTATAAGTTTATAAACATTGTTAGCCTAGTGATCTTTGAATTGAAAAGTGATAACCTAGTCACAATCCAATATAATATCTATGCTTAGCATTTCAAAATAGAATAAACTCCATAATAATGGTTATACATGTATTTTTGTGAATAATTTACACAAATAGCTAACCTTCCACCATTTATATTAAACAAGTTAGCATTATAGACATCTTGTATTAATACCCCAAATTCTTTGTAGAAATTGCATTGTTTTGAGCTATTGATTTGATTCCCAAACAATTTTTTTAAAAAACAATATGCAACTACATTTCACAACAATTTTTCCTTATTAAACAAAAAATATGAAAGTCAACTAATCACACCTATCAATTTTGTTCTTCATATTTGAAATCTTAGCAATATTTATAATATCCTACTATTACTACTAATATATAAAACATAACATAATCATGTAGGATTTTACTTGATTCGTCTTAATGAGTAGTTAATTAATATCCAACTATTACTTTTTTACAAATATGTAGTCAAACTAATGTGAAGTGTACGGTCAAAATAGGAAGAATTTAGGATCAAGGGGGGAATTAGACATAGGCACAGTGGCTTATTATTTTAATTTTGAAAGTAGACTCGTAACCAACTTGTCCGATTTCCACTTTCCTCGACCTTCAGTTTCGAGTCTAAAGCTCCTACGGAGCGTGATTCCCTTCTTGTCAGGTCGAATTAGACTAAAATAAATTCACAAATTAACCTATATCAAATACTTACCCGCACATGCACAACATCTTAGCATAATCTACCCTTTAGGCCCATTCTCTTGGCTTAAAAATCATAACTTATGCTTCTTTTTTTTACTTGCAACACTTAAATTTTCACGCTTGCGGATGTATTAATTTAATCGTTTTACCAGTATGCAAAAATTATAAACATTTGATATTAAAATAGTAGTATTAATCAAGACGAAACTAACAAGATCTCATATGATTATATTTTGTCTTAGCTATAAATCATCAATGCTAGTCAAAGAGAAGCAATTGAATAGTGTAAAAAGTCAAACTATTGCAAGTATAAACGGAACAAGTATGAACTTATTAATTGTGATCTAAACTTAAGTGAAGCAACTTTAATCGTGATGTAATTCAGTCCTATACTAGGCTTTTTTTCCAACTGAATTCAAGTTATCTTATCACACCTCAAACTAAACATCATCTTAATCCATCTCGATTCGTTAGCCAGATCTTATCTCAACTTAAAAGACCATACCACATAAATAAAATTGGGCCTTAGATAGTCAAAAATCATAATCTAACACTTGGCCTTTTTAAAAACACGGAGAAAGTGATGCTAACTAGTTTAGTTGGTAAAGTTTTACCATGACTAATCAGCTACATAACTACCTTTGTGTCACTATAGATCATAAATATACTTCAAGTCTTCAATTCACTATCGGAAAAAGTGATGCTAATTGCTAAATAGCTTAGTAGGTAATTTTTTCCGCGACTACTCAGCAACATAACTACCTTTGTGTCACTTCATAGATCAAAAATATACTTCGACTTGATGCTAATTGCTAACTAGCTTAGTTGGTAAGGGTTTACAGCGATTACTCAGCTACATAACTACCTTTGAGGCTTTGTGGAACTTTATAAATCAAAAATATAATTCAATTCAATTCAATCTCAGAGAAATCATCATCCGAATAAACCCCGGAGAGAAGTTAATCACCCCCATCAAACAATGAAACAACAGACCTACATTGTTACTGTGCAAATCATCTCTACAATTGGAAACAATACTGCTCGTTGAACTACTCAAATCTAAAATCCAAGAAATTAATTTAAATCAAGAACAATCAAAAATGAATAAATAAGGAAAAAGAAGTACCAGATCAACAAGAGCAGCAGCCCTTTCATAAACAGAGCCACGAGTAATTGCAGATCTCCGATTCAACACGGTCGTGCGACTGCTACTTTCTCCTTTCAGAAATGGCGTATTCATTGTTTATCCAATTCAGATCAGCAGGAAAAAGCTGATTGATGGAAATTGTAGAATTACAGTTGACAAAGGAGATTTGAAAAAAAATATATTTGGGAAAAGTGGGAACACTGAAAACAAAGGTTGGTTATTTACTTATTTTATCCCGTACGAGATTTGTTTTATTGAATAAGAATATTCTATTATATTATACCGTACTATTTAATTATTTTGTTGAATTTTCTTGGTATGAAAATGTCATTTGATGTGACAGGCTTCCAATTCAAAATGTAACAATTGGATATGGAAATATTTCGGCTCCGTTTTGTAGAGCTGCTCTGCTTTGAAATTTGCTCAAGTCTGCTCTACTTTGCTTAATAATAATATATAATATTTAATAATAATAATATTATTATTATTATAAATTGAAGTTATCTTCATTCTATAATTACAATTTTATGAATTAATATACACAAAAAAAAATGGAGTCAGGATAATTTCTTACAAATTTTATTATTGTGCGATTATTAAGGAGTTACATTTTAAGGGAAATTTAAAAATAGGGTGTTATGTATATGAAGAGTTTTTCAATGAAACTAAAATTTAATATATGGAAATTAATGCATGGAGTTTTTAATATTGATGGATGATGGCACATCATATGCCAATTGGCAAAATTGATGACACATGGAAAAATAGCATGTCTTGCCATGGGTTTTAATAATATATATTGATATTGATATTGTAAAAGCTTTCCAAATGAGGAAATGGAGCAAGTATTTAAAAACGGCCGGAAAGGAAAGTGGAGCAAATATTTAAAAACGAAGAGAGTAACCTCTAATTTAATTAATGAATATTTGGCAAAAAAAAATATTATTAATAAACAAAAGAAATATATAATGTTATGTGAAATTGATAATATTAATAAAAGTTTGTTAAGACGGCAAATGTATCACCTTTATGTGATGGGGGTTATAAGCTTGAATCTAGCTCAAAGCATAATTTAATTTGTTAAATGAAGTGGCAAGCTTACGTGACACTAACACATATAACTTCAGATAGTAACATGTAGGGGTGAGCGTAGTAGGGTATCCTGTAAAATCTCAGGACCCGGAATCGGAACCTGTTGCAACAGGTTTCTAAAAATAGGAACCGGAACCAGAACCTGTTGAACAGGTTCTTAAAAATTGGGAACCGGAAGGGGTTGTCAGCTTGTCGCCGACGGAAAGGGGGGCTGGCAGTGAAGCTAACTGAGGAGGAAGGGGTGGATGGAAGGAGGCATTATGATGGATGGGCACCACTAACGAAAACCGTAACAGAATTTAGACAGAGGTATCAAATGCTCTTTTAGAATTTGATGCATACCAAAATAAAATAAAATAAAATTTTAAATGGGTATCAAAAGCAAGATAAGGCCATTTTCAAGATACAAAAAGTCAAAATTTCCAAAAATTTTATACCTTTTTGTCAAAAAAAAAAGAATAAAATAATAACTTATGTAAGTATTACGGAATACTTTGTGTACTTGCTTGATTGGTATTGAATTTAGAAAATTAGTATCCAACAAATCAACAAACATTAGTGTGTGATTAATTTCTTACAAATTTAATTGTAGTTTATTGTGCAATTATTTAGAATATACACTATTCTATGGGAAAATTAAGTACAAATGTTACACATATAAAGAGTTGTAGGGTAATAAATGATGACATATAAAGTGACACATAGTGCTCTGACGCCAAGTCATATGGAAGGAACAGTAACACATGGTATTAGCATGTTATCCCTTTGAGTTTTAATAATATTATAGATTAGATTTTTTTTTTCAAAGCTAAACTAATATGAATATCCTTATTTTAATCTCATAACCCACTAAATTATACTTCGTACTATTAACAATATTTCACTTCATTTTAAGTGTATTAAATTATTTGTTAATTCCATTTAGATTCTTTGCACTATTAAAGAGAAATTTCTATATATATATATATATATATATATATATATATATATATATACATATATATATATATATATAGTCATATGAGGTCTAGTTTTATTCGTTTTGATTAGTACATTATTAATATCTAGTTTTTGTAAATTTTGCTATCATGAAATTAAAAATATTTGTAATTAAAGAGAGTGAGGGATAGCTCAAGTGGTTACAGTTTTCCTCCCGATTTCAGGTAATCATGGGATCAATTCTCACCCCATCCTTGTGGTTCTCTAAACACAAAAAAATTAAAAATAAAAAAAGAATTGCAATAAAAAAATTTATATCGAAATACGTAAATGAGACTAATATTATAAAACGAACAGAGTATAAAAACATAGGGAAAGTATATTTACTTATATTATCATTTTTTTTTGGTTTTTTTTTAATGTAGTTGACTAGTATGAATTGTTACGGGTACCTAGATTATTCGACTTAGATCCAAACTTCACCTGAATTAAAAATTAAAATTATGTTTTTTTTTCTTTTATAACTAGAATGTGCCCGTGCTAATGCACGGGTTATAATTAAAGATAGGATTAAAAAAATAAAAAGTATATAGATACAAATGGTATTTACTAAAACCAAAATAATAACAACAAAAACCCAAAAAATAAAAAAATAAAAAAAACAAATTGATTACAAATTACAAAAAAAAAACAAAAAAAACAAAAATAAAATAAAAATAAAAATATATATATATTAAAGTCTTGAAATATTATGCTAAATGAATCTAAGTCTTCAATTAGATTGTCCACGCATCTCTCGTTTAAGATAATAAAATTCTTCCTCCCATCTTACTTGTAAAACAGATGCAACTATGATATCATCATTTCCTATCTTAGGAACATGTAGTATGAAAGTGAATGTATTCATCAATCGTTCACTCAGATACTCCTCTAGAAAGTAGTCTCCAAATTCCTAATCATAAATAACAAATGTAGCCATTATGTCGGTGAGTAATTCCTTAATATATATGATTAAAGGATATACTTACATTATCTGTCATCGCTTGAATACTTGATATTGGACAACCTATAATCATCTCAGCATATTGGCCAAAGAGTGTAACAGACATTATTGTATTTGTAGCGTCACCAATTTTTACTTTGATTCTGTATCTGTTATTATTGATATGATATAATTAGGTGTAGTGATATGTAAAGCAGGTTATAATTATATTTTTTAAATAAAATAAAAAAAGTGAAAACACCTTGGCCTACTAAAAGAGGGGTCACACTCCATGCACATATCAGCTCTCCTTAAGCGTCGAGCACGTGATTCATACCAAATAGGCATAGAAGAATCAATGATAACACCTTTGCTACTACTCGAAACTATTTTACCTTGAAACACACATCAAATATTAAATACCTCATGTATAAGAAAATGAAGTCAATAATTGTTGATATACATACAGTATGAGCCGCTGAAAACTGATTTAACTTGATCCTTTTTGCATTAAACACCATTTCCATTTTAGAGATACTATTGGCTAATATCTGACTCCAGCTGATATGTTTTTGGACATATCCATCATCCGCATACCTATATGAGTTATTTAAGTACATAAGTATGCAATATAAACTTACATTGTATAATATGATGTTGTTAGGCTTACCAACCATGTAGATCATCAGTTTCATCAATATCAGGATCAATAAAAAGTCTAGTACGTCCAACAGTCGAAAGATATGCACCTATTGGAAGGTTAGTAAAAGTATTCAAAGCAATGATAATAATGAAAATGACACCATGGTCTTTCCATGGTTATCTAAAATTAAAAAACTTATTTTACCATAATAGGAGTCAACTGATACCGTGGATGCACCCAACACATGATCCTGATTAAGCTCATTGAATAAGAAACGACCTTGATCATGAGCAAACCCTTCCCATAAAGTTAGCCTCATTGTTTCCATGTTGTAAATCAAAATATATCATTAGATTTTATTTTATTTTTTTTTAAAAGAAAAAAAAAACTTAACATTGCATAAGTTGTTATAATTACATAAACATATTGTAACTTTTGTAATATGCTCTTACTTTGTGTTGCAGAGTAACACATCTCTTTTGAATTGTTGTCTCCCACCCGAGACTCTATATGATTCAGACACATATATAACCAATCCAATAACATCTGTGTATATTCATCATAAAGAAAAAAAGATCGGATATGACCTTCAGTTGTTGTTACTATGTTTTATTAAAGACTATCTGCATCTATATACTCAATAATTTTTAATCCTATCTTTAATTATAACACGTGCATTAGCACGTGCACATTCTACTAGTAGTAGAATCGTGGTCAAGGGATCAACATTGTTATTGGTAATCCTCAATTAAGAATAAATGTTGTTATAGACTTGTATAAAAAGGTTGTTCATATAATTGTCTGTAATGTTTGATTTTTTAGAGTATGTTTGTACAAAATTAGTAAAGTTCGGAGTAATATTTATTTTGTATTTGTTTTTGTACAAAAAAATTAAGGTGGCAAAAAAGAGGAAATGGTTTTTTTTTTTTTTTTTTAGAAAAATGCAATATATATTCTGTTTTTTTTTTTTTACAAAATTATTTAAGTGGCAAAAAAGAGGAAATGTTTTTTTTTGAAATAGATAACAATTGCAATTTATGTAAAAATTGATTTCAACGTAAAAACTATTGATTAGCCGCGATAATATTAGATTTTTTTTGGAAGAAATATTATGCAATATTTATTCAGTATTTTTTTGGCCAAAAAAAAAATTAGGTGGCAACAAAAAGAAAAAAAAAATATGAAGAACCTTTATTTTTTTTTCTAAAGAGAAAATTCTGTTTTTTTTTAATTTATTATAAGATTAGTAAAAGAGATAAAATTAGAACTTAGTAAGATATAATTGAGAGTATTTAAATGATTGATTAAGATTAATTTGAAATACATTCATAAAATTTATACAGTGAACAAATACAATCAAATAATATAATCAACCAAAACCGATAATCAAAACTATCAAAAACCTTGAAACGTTCACTTTTTTAGTCAATGTTTTTACCTTGATCAACATCTTTCAATATACATAACAAATTATAACCAATTTTATTACATAATATGATGACGCATTCCTTATTCACTTAACAACTTATAGTAAATGATTGACGGGTAATACACTCAATCAGGACATACAATATTGTAACAAAAGATAGACATTATGTAATGTCTAATCGATAATGATTAATGTCTAATCAATACTGATTAGGAATCACCGCTTACATAGATTATTAAAGTAGACCACTTATGAGACACTTGGTTGGGGTATTGGAGGATAGACAATATTGTTACGTAGTATTAAGAATTTAATATTGGAACTGCACTCTAGAATATGCATTGTATATTCTAATCGATTTTGGCTAGATTACAGTATTTATCTAGCAAACAAAATACAATATTTATCTTTGCTTTTCCTTTTCTCATTGCCACCAAAGGTATATTGCCTCTCCATCTCCATGAAAACTCTTCTGTTTCTCCAACAACCCATGAAAACTCTTGTGTCTCTATTATATTGCGTTGAAAACTCCCATTTTTCTCCATAGTTTTGCGGGAACTCTTAGGTTTCTCACCAACATGTCGAAAGCTTAACCCGTCTCAGATCATACTCGATTGTTTCTCCATTGTTTTACCTCCCAAATTTCTCCATAATTAAGCTCCAATTTTGTTCCTAAAAGACTCCCGTTTAATCTGCTAAAAAACCCCAATTCTATTTTTAAAAATTTATCTCTTTTCAAATTGAGGTTATATTCTCATGATAACGATTTCTGACAGATACAGGAATTAAAATTGGGAAGTATATCACCTCAACTTCAACTATTATCATTAAAAATTAGTAATTAAAAAAAAATTAGCAATTTCAAATAAATTCAACAAAATTGATTCCCGATAAATAAAATAGATAACATGCAAATTACCTCAATTCTATCAAACATATCATTCATTGTCAACGATTTCCCACTGTAACACCAATCAAGCTAATAATTAATACAAATCATACTTGCATATATCAACGCTTGCCAATTCTCACTCAATCCCAACCGTTCTCATGTATTATAATCAAGCGAAATCATATGCGACCAATAATTAAGCTAATTATACCAAGTTCTTCAATCAATTAATTCTTTTTTTTTTTTTGAAATATCAGTCAATTAATAATTTATGTATTATAACAATCATATTGATGCAATCTGCAACCGTAATTAATTCAATTCCCGCAAAAGTAACCCAAAATCGGTAAATTTGTTACTTGAACTCAAATTCCACACCAGATAGGAGACAGCCCATATAAACACATGACCCTGCATCAGACTCAGCTATTTTTCCATAGTTCTTTGGTTAGAAGTGTTTATATCCAATTACACATAGACATTAGACATGACTAGTCGAAGTAATACGATATTGGTGTTATGTAAGGACTTCCATAGAGCCATATAATGGTCACGAATGCAATGAATGTGAGAAGAACACCGTAATTACTTCCTCTAACCATAAAATCTAATTTAATTAAACTGAACATATATATAGTAAGTTGAATTGCTCCTAGAAAACTACCTTTCCTATAAATAGATATACATTACCCTGCCTTGCTCAATCAATCAAATTAATGAAATAATCAAATAATGCGTATCAAATTCAGGAAAGAGAATGAAAAATTGAGAAAGGAAGGAGACCTTGGTCTTTGACATACTCTGACAAAGTTTTACAATCGGAGCAGAGATGATGAACTGATGATATGAAAGAAGCCAAGAAGGAACCGTGGCTGATGACGCACCAATACTTGATAAAATGGAGATGGTTGGAGTATTTTTTTTTTCAGTTACCCATTTTTTGGAAAAAGAGAATAGGAGAGTGACATGAACAAACTGCTATATATAGAGTACGTGCTATTTTTTAGGGTGACAAATTTTTTTTTTAAATTTTAAATTAGGGGATTGTTGGAGGGATTAGATGTTTTGGCGGGATTGAATGAGAAAGCAGGGTTGGGGATTTGTTGCAACCTCATTGAATCGACTCCTAAATTATAATATAGATAAGAATGGATCAGTCTTTAATATTTCCAATGATTTTGTGGTGAAGAGTATAGAGATTGTAGATTGAGATGCGAAAATCTTGCAATAACATGGACCTACAGTAGACGTGGTTTGGTGAGGGAATTAATTATGGATTACTCCCTTCGTGTTTAACAAGTGTTACACTTTGACCAAACACGTATATCGAGACATTATTTTGACCATTAACTTATCTAATAATATATTACTACTTCCTCCGTTCTTTTATTAGAGTCTCATTTCTCATTTTTCACTAGAATTAAGGTTTTTATAGTTTCCTTAAACCATGTGATAAGAAGTATCAAAGTACATCTATACTTATCTATTAAAAAGTATTCCTAAAAATGTCAATGTGTCACTTGTATCTCATTCTTACACCAGCATAATGCCACATCATCATTCAATATGCCACGTGTATTTCTAGCATATTTTTGTTTTATGTCATGGTTAACCAAAAATGCATACAATAAGGTTTGAACACAAGACTTCATTGAATGAATACCACTTATTACCATCCAAGCTATAAGCTAATGTTGTTTTATCTATGCACATAAATATATAAATACATATTAGAAATAAAAGCAAAAATTATTCAAAACTATTTATTATTGTTATTGTAATATTATAATTTTCGACAATAAAAAAATTCTTACAAGCTCTTTAATAATAATAATGATAAAAATACTCAAAGTACCACTGTACACACCTAAAAATGTCTCCCCAAAACCAAACCCGATGATGAACAACCTTTCACCTCCACTATTGGTCGGGTTTAGTATTTAATCCCGAGAGTGCTTAAAAAATCGTATTTTATTAAATTCATATTTTTGAACAGTCCATGGATTAGTCTTGATGTTTGGTAAAAGCACAGTTTTAATTTCAGCCCAAACATATTAATTAATTTTTAGCCCAAGCCTTTTTTATTTTATTGTTTTATTATTTATTTTAATTTAATTATTTTCTTATTTTAGCCCGAATAATAAAAAGTCAGAAAAGGCCCGAAGTTATCAATCGGCACTTAAAATGCCGAAGGAAATTAGGGTTAAAAATGTATTTAGACGGAAAAACAGGTTGGAATTTCCCGCGCCACGGCAGGTACCTACCGTGTCACGGGAATCCTTCCCGTCTGACGGTGGGATTTCCCGTGACACGGGAGGTCTGCCGTGACACGGGACATTCCGTGTCTTTTCCGCGTAAACCCTTAACGCATTTTTTATCCCGTTTTCTGAAAACTTCCCGCGTCACACCAAAAATGTACCGTGTCACGGGAAAGTGTACCGTCTGACGGTGGAGCTTCCCGTGTCACGGTACATTTTGACCGTGTCACGGGATACTTTTTTAGGGTTTTTATCATTTTAGGGTTCCGTGTGCTCCCTCAGCACATTTTCCCTATAAATACCCCCTCATTTCTGATGAACGGGGCACCGAGTAATTCTCTAATTTTATTTTCCCTCTTCTATGCTTTAGCCAAAACACTAGCCTACCCTTTTCACTTCAAAATTCCTTCTTCAAGTACTCAAAAGAGTTCATACTTTACTCGTGGTTCTATCCTTAAGCCAAGGCGTGAAAGGTAGAATTGTTTGAGGGTTTGGCCTCAAAATCAATTTTACTTTATTTAATTTATTTAATCATTGCTTTATTATTTCCTTGAAGTTACTAAATCGTTTATTATTTTGTAGTTGCAAACAAACAGAATCAAAGTAAGGATCATGCTCCTTTTATTTTTATTATTTTTCTAACGATTTTATGTTGTTGGAATTGTGATTAATTTGGTTTTAATATTAATGTTGTTCTACTATTTTTATTATGATCACCATATTGCATGTTTAAATGGAAT